CATTAGCCTTGGTAGCCTATTTAGGTTGAGGATAGTCTATCTCTGGGTAGTGTATGACGGGAGAGTTTGGTATGGTTTAGTTGAGATTCCAAGCTGCTCTAGGATTCTTCGTAGTAGAAGTATTAAGACAATCAATCTAGGGAAGTACATAACACTGGTTTAACGAGGAACTAGGGGGAATCATTCCCAAGTGTCTATCTCATACTTGAATTCAAAACAATTTACTTTGTTTGTTTCATTAGCATTAGTTGACCGACATCACAATCTACTAGTTAGATAATAGATAAGTTCACGAAGTAATAGTAGACTTAGAGCATCAGATTGGCAATTAAAGCTTTGATTCCACTATACTACACTTGGTCTTTGGTTATACTTGGCCATAGATTAGGAGTGGTTAGAGCAAGTCAAGTTTTCGGCGCTGTTAGTGGAGACACAGCTAAGTTATTAAGGAGATAAAATACAATTTTTTGTCAAAATAGAATATTTATCGTGAAAAAATTACCTGTCATAAAAATGATTTGTCATAGTAAGATATGTTTTCTTGTCCCATTAGCACCCAATTTTAGTATGTTATTATGACAAGTTGTTAAATTGTGATGTACAACTTTTTCATAATAGTTTTTTTTTTGTCATTATACTCTTTGTCACATTTCAATTTTTCATTTTAGTTACGTGAGAAAAAATTGAGCTCGTCCCATAAAGTTTATTGTCATTATATACACTTTGTATATACACTAGAGATGAAGGAGAATAATTACAAAAAAAGGCGGAAATCTACAATATGAAAGAACTTAATGAAAATTATCATCTTTATAAACAAAGACTTGTGTTGTTGGTCCACTACAGTGTAGGAATGGAAATTTGGTATCGGTATTTGGGATATATCGAATACCGTACCGAATGTATTACTATTTGGTATTACCCAATACCGGCTTATATTTTAGGGATTGGGATTGGGTATCATTTTAGAGTGCTATTTGATATTCGGGATTACGGGATTGAGATTGAGATTGGGATTGGGATCGAGATATACCGAAATACCGAGAAATACCGAACTTTAAAAATTAATGAAATACAACACACAACCTTTTGTCATTCCTCACTCTTTCACAACTTAGAAGCCCCCATCTATCTCAATTTTGACTTTGCAGTTTAAGTAATTCTTGTTTCTCACCTAATCTCTAGTTAATTTCATAACAACAAAAAGCAAACGCTAGTATTGATCGTCTCTCAATCTCCAATTCGTCAAAGTAAAGATTATCAATGACAATATTTTGAGATGTCACCTCTTATCCATTCTCCTTATCCATATCCTAGCTCTAGGCAAACTCAAAACTATTTTCTTAGTCTCTTTGTCCTAAATTAAACAATAAAATCTAATTTATATATTTAAATATTAATTGCAAAGTTAATTAATTTCATATTCAATAATACCGATTGGGATACCGAAGTACCGATTGGAATACCAAAATATTTAGGGAATTGAGATTGGGATACCGAAATTATTTAGGGATTGAGATTTGGATTGACTTCAGGATGTAATTCGGTATTCAGGATTTCGGTATTTTGGTATTGGGATACCGATACCGTACCGATTTCCATCCCTAACTAGGGGCATTCACATAATAACCAACAGTTGCATCATTTTTTCTCTTCTTGCCCGATCATGTGACTATGCCCCCGCGCTTCTCTGTAACAAACTGCGTTTATATGTATTAATTCGATGAAATTCTCGCACGAAAGAAATTTCATGTAACTTGAAGTTGCAAATATTTTTTTCGAAAAGTGAAGTATTGTTATTTTCTTGTGTTTTAATTAATCAGCTAGCTCTCTAGAAGGTTGCAACCTGCCTTGGCCTGCTTCAGAATTCATTTATGAGTTTAAGTAGTAAAATAATATACCATTTATTTAAATATGTCCATATATATTATTATAACCAGCCAGCAACTGAATATATGGTTCAACAGCAGACCGGCAATACATATTTATATATATGGAAATTGAACTCCCAAATCTCATAGATTGGTAGATACATATACATATGTTGATGGATAAGGACTGCAAATTAAATGATTTTTCTTAAAAGAAACAAAATTAAAACCCAGGAAGGTTCCATTCCATGTCAACATGCTCAACACCTATACATGCCATTTGGGTGCACCTTAAACATAATTATTATTAGTATTAGTATTATTTTTTGAAAGGGTTAGTTAAATCATGGATTGGTGGGAAGGTCAAGGGTGTTCTAGAAGCTCGGATTTCCTCTACCATCATCAACTCCCCACTAGTTAATTATTCTACACTAATATATATGTTTGTGGTTGAATATAGATCCAGCTGCAGAGTTTGTCTGAAAACGACGTCGTGGGGTTTGTCCGGTTGTTGATTATCTGATTGCGACCTTTCAACGTCTACACACTCTGGCATGGAAGAAACCACTCCTTTTCTTTTTGCCTTCCGTTTCTGGGATTTTGGAAAAAACAGGTATTGTTAGGTATATGTGAAATCAGACTATGAATGAATTGGGAAATCCATACGAGCAAGCAGCTGCTGCTGAAAAAAACGTGCGTCTTGCCTGCCCCCATGTACAAAGGAAAATACCCGGCCGATTGGTTACCTCTTTTTTTTTCCCTTTTCTTATAGCTCGTATTATACGAGACCTTACAAGATACAAGAAGGAATTTCAACGAAATGAAGACCTATACGCGCGATAGATTCAAAATGTATAAGCTAAACGCATTTCCATATCGTAAAACAAAACCGATAATATCAAGATAAATAAGCCGATAGAGAACCAATTTCTGCCGATACCAGTCCACATTTTTTTTTAACATAAATAACAAGCCATGGACAGACTTTATTCATAAGTAGTTGTGCATCCTCATAAACCACTAACGAAAGCAGCCTCATGACGTGGCATCAATAATTGTTGTTTACTTATAAAAAAAAATGTTGTTACCCGATCTAGCTAAGCTAGCTACTAATTCCACTCCGGACGGGAAGATATTTAGCATGGTGGCAATCACGGCCTTTCCTATACACAACAACTGGGAATTGCTCAGATTTTTTTTATTGTAATTGTTTCAGATGTTTTTAGCAAAGTAACATTCGCTAATAAATTAGAAATATTCCACAATGTTACTGTTTGTCTTACAGGTTCTAACTCTGCTCCAGTGTTTTTTGGTTGTTGTAGACAATTAGCTACTATGCAAAGGGGAGATCTATATTCCTTGCCTAACAATTTAAGAATTTAAGTTCCATTACCAATTTATATATATGGTGTCGTTTGGTTTTGGTGATAGTTAAATTGATGCATTGTTATCAATACAAGTCATGAAAACATAAAAATATAAAATAATAAATGGCAACCGGCGGTGCCTGGTTCCTTTAAGTTTCGCGGGAACGGCCCTTCACTTCTTTCCTTTTTTTTTTTTTGCAATTTCCTTTTTCTAATTGATTTGTCTTTTTTATTTTTTTATTATTTAATTATGATTGTACTTAATACCCATTACGTAAAAGTTACGTAACACAGTTATTTCTTACGTAACAGTTAAATCAGAAGCGTTACATATGACTTTCATAATTACTTAACACTTTACGTAATGCAAGATTAATATTTATTACGTAAAAGAACTGTCAATTACGTAAGACTTTCGTAATAACTTTGTACAACTGTTACGTAAAATACACATTCATTACGTAAAGGTTACGTAACGTAGTTATTTCTTACGTAACAGTTAAATTAGAAGCGTTATGCATTGTCCATGAAACCGTACCGTACCGGAGGTTCAACCACGAAATACTAGTATCGGAGGCTAAACCGGTAGGCGGTATTTACCGGTATAACGGTTGAACTACGATTAAACCACGGTTTTATCATAAAGTACCTTACCGTTGACTTTCCCGATACGGTCTCCGGTACGGTTTCATGGACCATGGCGTTATGTAAGGCTTCCGTAATGACTTAGCACTTTACGTAACGCGAGGTTAATACTCATTACGTAAAGGGACCTTAAAGTCTTCGTAATGACATTTTACAATTGTTACGTAAAATACACATCCATTACGTAAAGTTAACATAATGATAGTTATTTCTTACGTAACAGTTAAATCACAAGCATTACATAAGGCTTCCGTAACGACTAAGCATGTTACGTAACACAAGGTTAATACTCATTGAGGAATTTTACAATGTTATATAGCATTGGTGCTATAGGTTTTTGCCTTTATGGTACAACTTGAAATTGTACGTTTAACGTTATGGTACAACTTTAGATTGTACCTATACTTTTTTGTACAAATTCTTTTATGGTACAACTTAAACTTGTACCTTATGTGATGGTACAACTTCAAGTTGTAAAGTTGTAACATAAGATAATAATACAAATTCCTTTATGGTACAACTTAAACTTATACATTTAATGTTGTGGTACAACTTCAAGTTGTACATTAAAGCACCAATGTTATATAGCATAGTATAAGTACTCAATACTCATTACGTAAAAAGACCTTCCATTACGTAAATGTTACGAACGACAGTTATTTCTTACGTAACACTTAAATCGGAAGCATTACGTAAGACTTCCGTAATCACTTTAAACTTTACGTAATGCGGTATTGGTATTCATTACGAAAAATAATTGTCCATTACGTAATTCTTATTGTATTTTACGTAATGCGACCTGTGAAACCTGCTATAGCAGGTAAAAAAATTCAAGTTACCTTAGGAATTCCCTATGTTCTTAACTTAATTACACTATACATTAAATCGATCTTTGATTGTCCGAGGTGGAGATTATCCGCTTGTATTAGAAAATCGTAGAGAATTAAATAAAAAAAACTCCATTTTCACGACAATGGAGAAGGTATGAATTGAGAACATAAAAATGAAGATGAAAATGAATTTAGGACAATCAGGGTTGTCACGCCGGTCGGCGTGCCACCGATTGTATATGGTAACCTGTACCGGTTATAAAACCGGCATAACACCACCGGTATGATCGGCATGATCAATATACGAATCTCTAAGTAAAATAACCTTATTTTAGTGACTTTAATTGTTAAAAATTATTTTATTATTTATTTTATGAGTATAAATGTTAAATATTGATGTTATTTGTTGGATTCAAGTATAAAGGTTTAGGTATTGACGTTAAATGTCATGTTTAAAATGAGTATTTATAATTTTATTTTTAATATTGACCGGCATGAACCGGCACAAACCGATATGTGCCACCGGTCGAACCATTCCACTTGCTAAACCGGCACACTGACATAAACCGGTTTGACAACCTTGGGACAATCCGAGTCAAACCCACCGCCACAGTAGGATTCCTACAAATATTGTCAAACTCATGAAAACAAATGATTTATAGTAACAGTTTTGTTTTAAAAAAAAAAATTCCTCGCATGGATTGTGTGAATGAGAATAAGAATGCACAATACTAAGCTTATGTCTTACCTGTTCACGCAACTGGTTGTTAGGTTCAGTCCACCTGTAAACGTAGAATAGAAGACAAATGAAAGGTTGGGGAGGAAAGAAAGCTAAATTTTTTTTCCTTTTGGTGGTAGAAAAAGTCAAAGAGTTAGAGGCAGCCAGTAGCATCCCATGACGAAATAATGCCCACCAACTCCCCAAAACTTGGTAATTGACATCCGAACCTACCCAAAAACCGCATCTTTCGATCTTTTCAAGTAAATATGCGAATTCATCCCACGACCCATGTTTCAGAGTTAATGAAATTTCACGGTCAAGAGAATTTTGACATAAGAATATATTTCTTTCCCCACCAATTTTAATCGTTTTGTTGACACAGGAATACCTAGTAGAATACGCAAAGTTCGAAACTTTAATGTGTCTATATATATATATATATATATATGATCATGGTGATGACGACGATGAGAGAAGGGAGGGAAGTATTCATAATTTCTCTCTGATCTTCTTTTCTTTCCTTTCTCCTAGCTTGTTCTTCTCTGTTTGCAGTTGTTCTCCATTGAAAGGCTGCCTGGATTTCCTTTGCTGCTCTTACCTCTGCATCAGCTTCGATCCTGCCCTGCCTTGCCTCTGTTTCCAGTACTGCTTTTCCTTCTATAGAATTCCACCGAAACAGAGCTCCAACTAGGAGTAGCAGGCAGCTCTGAAAAAACCAACAAACCCTTTGTTTCATTTTTCGTCATTCTGCGCCTTCTTTCATCCTATGTTGGAAAGCAATCATCGAAACTAGAGAAAAAGAAGAGAAGAGCCCAGAAATTGTGAAATGAAGTACACATGGAAATCGATGATCTGCGGGTGCTCCACGAACAGAGAGACGAGCCCGCTGCCGGAATTCGAGGAGATGATGATGAACGAAGAAGCTGAAGAGGAAGAGGAGGACAAGGATAAGGAGAAGGAAAAGAAGGTTCTGAAACAGACGGCTTCCTTCACGAGACTGTCCCTGTCCGATTTCAGCAACCCGAAAGTGGCGCTGTGTATGGAGGACATCTCCAATTCCTTGGTCGGGGGTTCGAAGCTGTACGTTTTCTCGTTCGCGGAGCTGAGAGTGATGACCCAGAACTTCGCCCGGATTAATCTGCTCGGCGAAGGCGGGTTCGGCCCTGTTTACAAAGGGTTCGTCGACGACAAGCTCAAGCCTGGGTTGAAGGCCCAGCCGGTCGCTGTCAAGTCATTGGATTTGGAGGGGTTGCAGGGCCACAAGGAGTGGATGGTAAGCCATTAACTCTGCAAATTCGTGAAATTCGATTTATGTATTCGATCCGATCCGATTCGAGTAGTAGTAATTGTGAATTTGGTGTTTGGGGGCGCGCAGGCGGAGATCATCTTTCTGGGACAACTGCAGCATCCGCATCTGGTGAAGTTGATTGGGTACTGTTACGAGGAAGAACAGAGGGTGCTGATTTACGAGTACATGCCACGGGGAAGTCTGGAGAATCAGCTCTTCAGAAGTACGGATTCCTTTTGGTTTACTTTTTTCCCACAAAATTTCGACCAGGTTTTTGGGAGTCTTTGATGTTCTTTAATTCAAAAAGTTGCATTTTCTTTTTTGTTTGCTCCGCAGGATACACTGCTACACTGCCGTGGTCAACAAGGATGAAGATTGCCATTGGAGCAGCCAGAGGTCTGGCTTTCCTCCACGAAACAGAGAAACCTGTCATCTACCGCGATTTCAAAACTTCCAACATACTCTTGGACTCGGTAAGTTAGTTTTTACACTTTACATCCAAGCTACATAGTGTCCACAATTTCAAAAGTTCCGATATTTGCCCATCATTCAAGAGATTAAAAGGTTTAACTATCACTTTCTCAACAACTCGATTTATTGGAATCAAGTTCACTAACATGGTATCAGAGTCTAGAATCTAAATGTCATGATTTTGAATCTTCATGACGAACCCCAATTTAAAACAATGATTTAGTACAACATACCAACCTGTCCAAACTGAAAGCCCCCCAATTTAAAACAATGGTTTAGTACAACATACCAACCTCTACAAACTGAAAGAAGAATCAATTTGGCAGCACAAAGAATAATATGTTCAGCCTGTGCAAACCGTATAAGAAAAACCAAGAAAAATACAGACTTTCGTTTGAGGGGGCGTTTAAGAGATTAAAAGACTTAACTATCTTTTTTTCCCAACAACTCAAGTTATTGGGACCAAGTGGTTAGTTCGCTAACAAATCGTTACATTATTTTTGCAGGACTACACGGCAAAACTATCCGACTTTGGATTGGCAAAAGATGGACCGGAAGGAGAAGAGACGCACGTCATCACCAGAGTGATGGGAACACAGGGCTACGCAGCACCTGAATACGTCATGACAGGTCACCTCACGACGATGAGCGACGTGTACAGCTTCGGGGTCGTGCTGCTTGAACTGCTCACGGGGAAGCGGTCCATGGACGACGCGAGGCCGTACAGGGAGCAGAGTCTCGTGGAATGGGCCAGGCCGATGCTGAAGGACCCAAACAAGCTGGATCGGGTAATGGACCCCAGGCTGGAAGGTCAATACTCTCGCAGCGGGGCTCATAAGGCCGCCTTGTTGGCCTACAAATGCCTCAGCCATCATCCCAAGCCCAGGCCCACTATGACCAACGTTGTCGCCCTCCTTGATTCCCTTCAGGGGTTTCAAGACGAAGACGCTTTTGCTTCCGGCACATTCGTCTACATCGTTCCGAACGAAAATGCGACCGTGAGGCCGGTTTCCGACGACGGAAAGGGATCAGGGAGTGGCGCCGATGAGGAAGGAGAAGGGAAGAGATCAGGTGATAGTCGCCGGCGCCGGAACCCGCGTCAACACGGAAATCGGGGGTTGAGACATCGAATCAAGCTGCCGTTGTCGCACCTGGTTACGTATTCGGACCCGACACTTTACGACACGTTTTCGAACGGTGGCGACTCTCCCGTTTCTACCCCAACCAGTTTCAGGAAACCCAAAGAGCAACTTTAGTCCGTATGTAGAGCGCTGGTTTGGCACCACCTTTTTCAAATTTCTCCCTTTCCAATTTTTTTTTCTTATAATAGATCAAAACTTAGCTCTCTTGTTGAATTGTATATATATTTACAATATTATATTGTATGAGGTATGCATTTGTCAAAATGAAAGAAAAAATGACACACATAAAAAAAATGAAAAAAGACTTCCAACTTGTTCTTTCACTTACTCTTTGTTGTAGGGATAGAAGTGATACCTCGGTTTGTTAGACTAACTCCAACCCTGAAAGTGGAATTTAGCTCCCCAAATGGCCAAATATGGCTTTTTAGCTCCCCAAACCCACTTTTCACTCCAACCCTATAAAAAGCTAAATTTAGCTTCCCATTTCCATTTTTCAATTTATTTCAATAAACCATACTTATTTGACCTCTAATTTTTATATTTCACTTTAATTTTTTCATAACTCGTTATTAGTTTTGAATACAAATTTTTCGATGTAATTTTTTTTAAATTCCGAGATAATTTTTTTTTTAAAAAAGTAGTCGTTAAAATATTACCGTTAAAACTTCGGGACCACTCCAAATATGACCGTTTTTTTGTATCCGTTACTTTAGGACCGTTTTTTTGTCATTTTTTGCACCAAATGTCTTTATAAATGACAGTTCTTCATTTTCATCAACTCAACTAAAACTTCTTCCCATTTCTAAAACAAACACATTCATCATGAGTATCTCAGATAGCTCATCGTATGGAGAAGAAGAAAACGAAGAGTACGAAAGGTTTCACCACCTACGTTTGAGTTTGATCGGTCGGAGGCTGGCTGAAGGTGCATCAAGTCGCCGTCAAACTACAAGCCGACGTCACATTGATCGTGAGAGGGTCGAATGTAATCGACGTCTTATGAGGGATTACTTCGATCCAAATCCAGTATACAATGCTCGCATTTTCAGAAGGCGCTATCGAATGCAGCCAAGATTATTCCATCGCATTATGGGCGACATTGTGAGGTTTGACCCCTCATTTGCTCTAAGGCGTGATAGCTTTGGTCAATTGTCACTATCTCCAGAGCAGAAGCTTACTGGTGCGATGCGCATGCTAGCATATGGTTCTCCAGCTGATCAACTTGATGAGTATGTTCGTATGGGTGAAAGCACCTTGATGGAGGTCTTCAGAAAGTTTTGCAACAACATTATCAACATGTACGGGGCCACATACCTTCGCGCACCTACTCCTGCTGATTTAAGGATCTTACTCCGTAAAGCCTCAAGTCGTGGCTTTCCTGGAATGATTGGATCAATTGACTGCATGCATTGGGAATGGAGGAATTGTCCAAGTGGTTGGGCAGGACAATACACCGGCCACATGCATAGGCCAACAATCATTCTGGAGGCGATGGCCTCCTACAACACATGGATATGGCATGCTTTCTTTGGGACACCTGGATCGAACAACGATATAAATGTTCTGGGGATGTCACCAGTGTTTGATTGTATCGTCAATGGAAGCGCTCCACATGTACGATTTGAGGTAAATGGTCATGCTTATGATCAATGTTATTATTTGGCTGACGGTATTTATCCCTCATGGTCGACTTTAGTGAAGACCTTCAGCAATCCAAGGTCAAACAAAGAGGCTTTGTTTGCTCAACATCAAGAAGCACACCGCAAAGATGTGGAACGGGCATTTGGAATCCTCCAAACAAGATGGGCAATTGTTCGTGGCCCTGCAAGAGCTTGGGATGTTGTCACGCTTAACAATATAATGCTGTCGTGCATTATATTACACAACATGATAATCGAGGATGAGCAGGTTGATTCTGATGACGAGATGGATGATGACCTTGATTATGAGGTCCTTGCACAACCTGAACCAATCAACCGACACCAATCAACTCTAATTGATTACTTGGCTAGAAATAACAGGCTTCGCTCATCTACAACACATCATGCGCTTAGAAATGACTTGGTTGAGCATCTTTGGAATTTGCACGGCAATATCTAGCATTGTTTTACTTCATGTTGCTTGGTTGTTTGTATTTCAAGTTTCACTGTGTGATTGTATTTCATGTTGCTTGGTGTGATTGTATTTCAAGTTTCAGTGTGTGATTGTATTTCATGTTGCTTGGTTGTTTGTATTTCAAACTTTCAATAACACTTGTTTTTATTACACATGGAATTGCTCAAAGTTCAAAGAGTACACATGACACATGAAAATAACAAAGTTGAAAGAGAACACACAACACATTAAAGATGTAAAGACAATAGAGTACAAATAGGATCTTCTTCTAATTAATAATCCATGACAGGAAAGTAATCGCCATCTCCTCCACCACTTTCATCGCCATCTCCTCCACCACTTGCATCGCCATCTCCATCTCCGCCATCACTTGGATAAGAGTTGGGATCATCTTGATCGTACCCATAAATGTCATTTTGTTTACGCCTCCAAAATCTCTTCTTTCTTGGTGTCATCTTTGACAAATCCTTCTCCAGAATAGCTACATTTTGTTGAAGTATTGCAGCTTCCCTCTCTTTCTTCTCCACAGCCCACTTTTCCGCTTCACGCTCCCTCACTTGCCTCTTGTATGCCCATTCCTCTTTCTCCTGCTCTAGTCTCCTCTCTTGAACATTCATTTTTCTGTTTTCGTACTCCATCCTCGACTTTTGCCTCTCTCTCATATCATTACCAAACTCTAGCAGTTGAGTAGTGTATATGTCTGACGATTCAGCAACTACCTTACCTTTCTTCTTTGCTGCCTTTTGTTTGTCGCGTCCTTCAGGGCGAGTCAACACGAAAGGCGTAGCTCCTTCATCTGGTAAGTCATCAAGGCCTTCCACGGGAGATGATTGAGAACCAAAACCTGTTGGAGAACTTTGGGAACCTTGCCCCATAGTTGGAATGGGACTAACAAGCAGGTCAGGATTGGAGTACCACTTTGGACAATTTCGAAGAATGTCGAAACAATGCTCAAAATCAAAAGCCTTGTTCCCATTCTCTTGCTTATATATTGCTCTTGCCTCCTTTTCCTAATAAAATATGTAATACATGGGTTAGAGAAGTTTTTTTTGACACATAAAAAATAAGAAAATACACAAGTTGAGGGTCCAAAAGAATACCACATCAAACTGGTTCGTGCCACTCGATTGATGCCTTTGTGCTCTTTGCAAAACTCCCTTCCAAGCATTGCAGTGATAGCAAATAATCCTCATTCGGGATTCCATTGCAATAGCAGTACGAATTGTAGTAGGATCCCATTTTTGATGTTCTGCCGCCACTCTTTCCCACAACCTTGTATACTTCTGGTTGGTGCCAACCGCTCCATCTTCTGATATCGACACCCAAGCTCTGCACAAGATTTCATCTTCATTCGGACGCCAATTAGGTCCTCTCTTGCCTGTCATATTTCTATTTTGAGAGACGATAACAATTGAATTTTGAGAGAATGCGATTTATGCTCTGAGAATGAGTGAAGAGAAATCTATGAAGAGTGCTGTAATATATAAGAAAAAATATGGCCGTTAAAATATGACCGTTTTTTATGGCCGTTAAAATATGACCGTTTTTTCGTCACTACATCAATTAAATTCCCAACCAACAAAAACAAAAGTTAAAAGAAAAAAAAAAACAGTCGGCTGGCGGGGGAGGGCGCAGGACGCGCGCGGGGGAAGGTCTTCCCCCGCGCGCGTGCGGCCCAGGCGCGCGTCCTGCGCCCTCCCCCGCCAGCAGACGTTGTATGCACTTTTTGGCAGCCAATTTTCACTTCCCACCCCAAAACCCAGCCAAATTTAACTCCCAAAAACCCAATACCCATATTTTGCTTCCAATTTTTTTGTGGGTTGGAGGAGAAAAAAAAGCCAAATTTGGCTATTTAGCATTTTAGCTCCTTGGGTTGGAGCCAGCCTTAGGTTGTTCTTTCACCCACGTAGCTAGTTGCAGGCAACTCCTTCAACCTGGGTTGGAGCTAAATATTATCCGGCTACCTAATGAGGTGGACTTCATGCTCGACAATTACAAGAATGGACTTGATTGTTGTTATGCAGTTGTTGCGCATGTGATTGGAGTTTCTAGAGAAGTACATCTTGAAATATTTTTAAAAAAAATGTTTGGTCTGTAAACTATAATAAATAGTTTTGAATATATGAACTTATGAAATTATCGAAATGATTATAAAAAAACCAAATTGTCAAATGGGTGTTGTAGGATTACATTATATAAAAATTATATAAGTGAGAAATTTTTTTTTTTTGAAAAAAAAAAACAACATTTGGTAAAAATTACTTTCACATTTTTCAAAGTTAGTTTGTAGAAATGTGTGAGCTAATTTAAATTTTTGAAAAAAATAACTACTTTAAAACCTAGGCGAAACATAGACTTCATAGATTTGGTCATTTTAGGTAGGGGTGGGCATACGGTTCGGTTTTACCGAACCAAACCGAATTCAAACCGACCAAAACCGAACTATTCCTTATTAGATTCGGAATTCGGACGGGGATATCTTGAATTCGGGAGACATGTGTCTTTCAACCGAACCGAAAGACCGATTTACCGAATTAAAAATGGCCCAACCCCTTTCCAAACTTCAGCCTACTCCCACTTAATACTTAACCCAATTAAAGCCCAATTTCCAAGCCCAACTCCTCTCAATCTCTCATGTCTAGTCCAGAACTCCACTCCAGATCCATCTAATTTCCAATGCCCCTTAGTAATTTGGTTTCACAACCGAAAAACCCTAACTTGGCCTAAAGTGATTGTCGAAGTAGGGCAGCAGCCAGAGCAGAGAGGCGACGGTGAGACGCGGTGCTGCGAGCCTGCGACCACGACTTGCTGCCGCTACTCCCCGTCGGCCTTCTCGGCATCCCCAAACCCCGACGGTCGACGTCCTCTTCCTGAGCCCGACTCCGTGACTGCTGACTCCCTCCATCTCTCGCGACCGCTCCCTGACTCCCTCCACCTCTCCCATTCCCGTCGTCCATCTCGACATCTAGCCATCCACCGCCAGTCGCCCAGTCCGTCACGCCACTCGCCGCCTGGCCCCTGTCTTCCACTCCCAGTCTCCCACCCAGCCACCCACACTCCCACAGCACAGACTCTCCCGTCGGGCGCCGGCAACCACCAGTTAGTCGCCGCCTAGAATCATGACCACCAGTCGAAGGCTAAAGAAAACCACCGACAGCTTCATGTCACTATGCTGCCCTATGTTCAATATTCCTTCTAGGAGAACAATCACTAGGGATTGCTTTGCCTTCTATAGCGAAATGAAAGACAAGTTGAAAAAAGTATTTTAAAAGTTCTGAAGGAAGAATTTGTTTGACTACTGATGCATGGACTTCGAACACGCAAGATAGCTTTATGTGCTTAACTGCTCACTTCATTGATCAAGATTGGAAATTGACGAAGAAGATCATCAATTTTGGAGAACTTAAAGGTCATAAAGGTGTAGATATTGCTGATGGAATTATTGCTTGTTTGGATGATTGGGGGATTGAGAAGGTATTCACAATTATTGTCGACAATGCTAGCTTTAATGATACAGCTGTGGCCAAATTGAAGGAACATTTTAGTGCTAGAGGGACTAGTATATGTGATAGTGAATTCCTTCACATGAGATGTGTAGCTCACATTTTAAATTTGGTTGTGTCTGATGGGCTTGGAGATATTTCCTTGTCGGTGAAGAGAATTAGAGAAGCAGTGAGGTTAATTAGAAATTCACCTAAAAGGTTGAATTTTTTTTTTTGGGAGTTTGCTACTGTTCAAAAGGTAGAAGGCAAACTTGGCTTGTGTCTTGATGTTCCTACTAGATGGAACTCGACATTCTTGATGTTGCAGGCTACTGAGAGGTTTGAAAAGGTCTTCATGATGTTTGACATGTATGATGGCCATTTTCGAAATGATTTGGAAAGCAAGAAGGATAGACATGGCTTAATTGGGATCCCGGAGAAGGATGATTGGGAGAATGCAAGGAGAATTTCTTGGTCGGTTCTACGAATTCACCTTGAAGATCTCGGGCTCAAAATATACCACTTCCAACTTGTTCTTGAAAGAAGTCCATTCCCTATATCATTTGATAAACAAGTGGGAGACGGAAGTTGAGAAAGATCTCGACTTGAGTATCATGGCTAGCAAGATGAAGATGAAGTACGAGAAGTATTGGGGAGATGTGGATAAAATGAACAAGCTACTTTACATCGCCACTGTAATGGATCTGAGGTACAAGTTGGATTTTGTTGACTTTGCTTTGAAAAAGGTGTATCCTGAGGGTGGCAAGGGAGCACGTATGGCGGGGGATGTGAAGAAGGCTACATTTGATCTATTTGCTCACTATGTACAACTTTGAAAGTCGAAACAATCCAAAAATGCCTCTACTTCTTTGGCTCCAATTGTGGAGGAGGGTAATGCAGATGAGCTTGATGTACTTGCTGAATACAAAAAGCATAGAGAGCAAATTGTAGGAGCGGTAAACAAATTTGAGCTTGAGAAATACCTTCGTGAGGAAGACGGGCCAATGGTGCTCAAGTTTGATGTACTTGGTTGGTGGAAGGTTAACAGCTTGAGGTTTCCAACCCTTTCCATGATGGCTAAGGATGTTTTAGCGGTCCCAATCTCTACTGTTGCATCTGAATCTGCCTTTAGCGCTGGTGGGAGGATTCTATATGATTTCATAAGTTCATTGACTCCTAAGATAGTTGAGGCCTTAATTCTGCACCATCATAAGCCGAGGAGTATCCAGAAGAGGTCGAAAAAATTGATGAAGGTAAAGTCTCAAATCTAGAATTACATATTTACAACATGATTAATTTGTATGTGCATGACTAATTTTGAGTCTATTTAATCATACAGAATTGGACAAGTTGATGAATGCCATCTCTATAAGAGATAATCTTGTTTCATCTACCTCGACTTTCAATGTCGAGAGTGGGAGGAAGAACGAAAGCAATGCATCTAGTAGTGCTTGTGATGATAATTTTGATGTCTCTATGCATGATTGATGACTTTAGAGGTAAGAAATAATGATTTTAGTCTACTTGTTTACTTGTAATTAGTTCTATACTTATTAATCACTAACCATCATTGTTCATGTTTATTGTACTATTTTCGAATTCAAAGGTCTCAATTGTCCACGAGTGAAGATTTAAGAAGCAAGATCTTTGGAGTTTCTACAAGTTATGCTTGGAATTTAGACATTGATTACCTTTCTCATGTTAGTTTGAACTTAAACCATTTGTATTGTTTTGTAATGAATATTTGGAAGGACTTTTTTTTTTGCATACAAGGAGGCTCACGGCCGAAGAAGAAAGAAAAGAGGGAACAAGCAGAAACAGAGGGGTTACAGGGAGGGGGCTGTAGAGTTCACCACAATGTTCCTCAGAGTTGTACTTCCCCGTTGATCATCCTGAAGAAGAGGGAGAAGCTCTGGTGGCGGTGAATCTAATTCATGCATACCGAAGGGATAGACGAGACTGTGCTTCGAGAGCCAGTCCGCGACTCTATTCCCTTCCCTGTATACATGTACCAGACTCACCACCCAGTCCTGGGAGATCTTCCTCCGGATCGCGGTGAGCAAAGCTGCATACGGGTGCAAAGGATCCATTATGTTCTTCACCAACTGGGTCGCTAGTTGCGAATCTGTTTCAATGATGAGTGCTCTGTATCCAAAATTCCATCCAAGCTTCAACCCATGGTAAATCGCCCACAGTTCCGCCAAAGCAGCCGAGCACGATCCCAGTCTCGACACAAAGCCTCTCACCCAACTGCCACTGTCATCGCGAATAACACCACCTGCCCCTGCTAGGCCTTGTTCTCCCTTGGCTGCTCCATCCACATTAATTTTAGCCCACCCCGCCGGGGGGGCCTTCCAACCGACCTCTGTCATCACACGATCCTGGGCCGGCTTGAATCTTCCCACCAAAGGGGAGGGGGCATTCCAGGCCTGAGTCCACACGGAAGCTCTGATCTTAATAGATTGCGTCAGAGAGGAGGCAGATAGAGCCTTGTTCTCACCTTTGAAGACCACATCATTTCTGTTCTTCCACAAGCACCAGAGAGCAATGCTAAAGAACGCATTCCAGGGAATTCCGTCCATAGTAGCCTCCTTGGAGGCGAGATTCCGATGCAACCAAGTACCCCAAGAAAGGCTAAAAAACTCCTGCTGTGCTCCTCCTGGGACTGTGCGATGCCATAGGAAGGCTGCTGGGGGACAGTTTCGGAAGATGTGCTCTAAGCTCTCCTCCTGGTTGGCACACTTGTAGCAGAAACCATCATCACTTAGGTGCCTTCTCACCCTCATCTCATTCGTGGTCACCCTTCCCTGCTTAACCAGCCACATGAAACATCTAACCCGTTCCGGCACCGGGAGGCGCCAAATCGCTTTCCACCACTGTTGCCCCTCGGAGTCCGGAGTTCCTTGCTGCAACACATAGGCGCTCTTGGTTGAGAAACGGCCATCTGCTGTTGGTTTCCAAAAAATCTTATCCGCCTCCATCGCCAGCGGGTCAACAGCCTGAGCCAGGATCTTCTGAGTGATCTCCGGAGAGAGTAATGACTCGAACTTCTCAATCAGCCAATTCCCCTCCTCATCCACAAAGTGAGCGACCATGAGCTGCCGATCTTCCTCCGTGATCGGCCCGGTAGCAACCTCGTAGAGCGGTCCCTGCCAAATCCAAGGATCAGACCAAAACTTAGTTTGTCTTCCTGAATGAACATTCCAGGCACATCCCTGCCTAAGCAGGTTGGCTGCTTTAGTAAAGCTGGCCCAGGTAAAGGAACTTCCCTGAATAGGTTTAAGCATATCCAGATGTTGCCTGTTTCCTCCATATTTCGCTCTGACCATCTGCACCCACAAGCTATCTTCCTCCTGGAGTAAGCGCCATCCACTCTTGGCCAACATGGAGATGTTCACTTCTCTAGTCGACCGAATACCAAGTCCTCCACTACTTTTGGGTAAAACCAACTGCGGCCATCCAACCAGATGAAGCTTCTTCTGGCTGTCCGTGTCTCCCCAGATGAACCCCCGGTTGATCCGATCCAGAGTCCTGCAAATATTCACAGGAAGAAGTTCTGTGTGCATGGGATAAATGGGAATAGAAGAGGTAATGGATTTCACCACCGTGATACGGGCTGCAAGTGAGAGGTGTCTGGATTTCCATGGAGCAAGCTTCCTTTGGATTCGCAGCACCAGATCTCGATACCGAGCTTTAGTCACCCTCCCATGAATAGCCATGACTCCCAGGTACCGGCCCAGATCCACTGTAAGGGGAATATCCACTCTGTGAGACAGGCGACAGGCTTGCCTTCTGTCTACATTGGCTGAGACAAACATAGCGGATTTATTATAGTTCACTCTCTGCCCCGAGCTGTGGCAGAACTCGTCCAAGCATTGCTTGATGATCCGAACCTGGGACCCTCCTGCTTCTGCAAAAAGAATAAGATCATCCGCAAAAAATAGGTGAGATATCGTAGGGCCCTCTTTGGACAACCTCAGGGGTTTCCAAAGTTTGTCCTCAATAGCCTTATCAATCCTGTGGGACCGGGGTCTGGATTTGCCCTTCTTTTCTTTGACCGGGGTCCATATTTGCAACGCCTTGGCTGCCACCTTCGTCGGCGTCTTACGAGGAGATTTCCCCTTCTTCTTCTTCGCAGCGTTCTGCTTTCTCATCCGGGAGGATGCCGACGGGGCATCACATTGGGAATTTACTTCCCTCTGCTGGTCGAGGGACGGTACGGCCACTACCTGAATTGATGTTGAATTTGGGCCAACAATATTCTGGATGGGAGGTGGTTGTAGAAGTTTCGGCTGGCTGGAACTTTTGGTTGCTGCCGGGCCTCCAACCCCTTTAGGCCCAGCGGCAGGGGAGGCTGCCCCAGCTCCTTTGCTCTGATTAAAAACGGGCCCTGAGGATGGGCCGGCCTTTGAGGCTGGGTTTGGCCCAAGAACTCCTTTTCCCCCCATGGCTTGATCCACCATCGCATACCCCACTTTCTCTTTACCTTTTCTGTTCCCAGCCCCATTCGACTTTCCTTCCTCGTTCAAACCAACCCGCGCCGCCTCGCCTCTCCGATCAAAACTTTCCTTTTGCCCTCCCTTAAGACCGTTGTGGCTTTCTGTTTCCTGGAGGGAGTTCTTTCCTTTTCCATTCTTCCCAATCCCGGATGAAGTCCCATGATTAGCGTTCAAGTTTCCATTTTCTCCATTCCGATTCCCTCGCCGAGATTTCCGTGAAACCTGCATCCAAGGGCCAAAACCTTGCTTCTCCTCCGACACCGCCTCCGGCCAGACTTCTGGTGACTCCTGCCTCACTGCCCCAGCCGGCGGCTTAGACTTGGCAGCTAGAGTCGGGCAAGTCAACGTCGTATGCCCAATCTTACTGCATTCAAAACAGCACACCGGCAAGTTCTCGTACTCAATGTACTGCCACTTCCCGTCCAGCCGAATTCTTGTAACCAACGGTTTGGAGAGGTCGAGTTCCACCGCCATCCTAGCGAACTTAGCTCGTTGTTGATGTTGCGTATGAAAGTCAAGCTTGATAGCCCTACCCACCATGTTTCCCAAAGCGAAAAGAATTTCCTTATGATAAAAGTGTACTGGGAGGGCCGGGAACTGAATCCATACAACCATGGATCTTGGCAGAGCATCCGTGAGACGGAAATCGGGTGTCCACTGGAAAACGATTAGGTAATGATCAAATATAACCCATGGTCCTTCTGTTAAAACCCTGAAATAATCCGTATCGTTGCTGAATTTAATCAGGAAGCATTCCTGACCGAGAGCGAGGATCTCCATGGTTCCTGACGGCCGCCATAGATACTTGACCTTATTGCTGAACGTTGGGAAAGATATACTCAGCCCCAAAACTCGGACAACCAGGGTCCTCTGCCATGGGACACACAGTTTCTCTTTGAAACCCGTTGAGATTTTTAGCTCCGGCTCCCCGTTAAAACTCCCTGTTATCAGGTCATGCTCGCCAACCGGGGTCCAGGCGATCATTTTTTGCGAAGTCACCGCATTTGACCCTGTAACAGCATTCGCATAGGACAGGGGCTGCGAGCTAGGTTGTTGATTGCTTGTCGTCGACGGCGAGCTCTGTTCAATCACCATCGTTGTCTCGTTGGCCTCCAAGGGAATACCTGGAGAACTGCTAACTGCGGCAGAGCAGGCCGTCATCTGCGTGTCGCCACCCTCTTGCGGAGGATGGGGTGGATCCGGCGGTCTATCTGAGTGATTCAGTTCGGCAGCCGGCGAGAGACACAGAGGTTCCATGTAGAAGCTCAAACGTTTTAGGGAGCACGAGAGTTATAATCTTCACGCTTGATAACTACAATAACATTATACTCGGAACAACCTTGAGTTATGGCATATTTGGAAGGACTTGAGGTATTGTATTTGTGTTGAATATTTGGAAGGTGGACATTGATTATCTTTCAACTTTGAATGCTTGTCTTAATTAATTGTATTTGGTCTATAAAATTGAAATGGTAGGTAGTAAACAACTCAAATGAGAAGCAAAAATAGTGTAGATACAGCAACCCAAAAGGCAGCAGAACTTCAGAAGCACCCAAAATGCAAAAATGGCATGGCACTCAACAGGGCAGCAACTTGCAATTTCGGCTATGAGAAGGAAACCGAACCGAGCTATAATTCGGTTCGGCCGAATAGAACCAAATTATAGATCGGTTCGAATTCGGTCGGGGTGTGGGGGACTTCGGAAGGTCGGTATGTGTCATTTCGGTTTGTGGTATTGGAAATTGCTATTCTGGCTTGAACTATGTAGCATACTTTCTTATTTGGCCCGGAGACGGGTTTGACAGTCAAATTAGACGGTCAACCGAGTTGACCGTTAGTCAAGATCCAGCTCACTTGCCACGTCTACTAACAGGGAATAAAAATTTTATTTTTTTAATTACTATATTTTTACTTTCTAATAATAAAAATAATAAACAAAAAATTCATTTTTTACTTTCTTATTCGTTTGTTTATTATTTTATTATCACATTTAACAAAAGAAAAAATTCATAAAACTAACAAACAAAAGAAAACGCAAGAATCCTTTATCTTCTCCGACTCTCTCCTCACTGATCTGCCTTCCTTCTGCTTCCCATCGCCACCTTCCATTTCCATTTCCAACTAACCATTTAGCAGACAATGCTTTTGCTTCCCATCGCCACCTTCCATTCATAACTCTTACAATTGATATCTCCAAATGTTTGTCATCCAAATCAATTTACACGATTCAGCAACCCAAATCCCTAACCCACCAAAAACGCATTCAAACGGAGGAGATGAGCGAGACCGAAATCGATTCAGTACCCAAACATGACTATGGTGGCGACGACCAATCTCGCCGATAATGATAAACATCAGCTTTGCGGCGCGCGTGTGGAGACTTTGACGAGTTCATCTTCGTTCTCCTCTGGCTCAAAATCGCCTGCCTCTGTGGTCGCTCTCTCCCTCCTCATAATGAACAATAGTAGGGGGTTTCAATCGACGTAAGGGTTTGATGAGGGTTGGGGGTTTCTGGAGAGATGAATCCTGCCGTGATGAGCGGCGATGAAGGTTTAGAGGGGCAGAGTGAGGGGAGAGAGAGTGAGCAAATGGAAAGGGGATAGGGTTTCGGAGAAGATTGGTTTGGAAGGGGAGAGAATTTTTTTTCCCATCAAGGTGAGAGGAGGGAGAGTATAAATTGGATTTTTCTTAATTAATATTTTTTGTTTATTATTTTTATTATTAGAAAGTAAAAATACAGATTTAAAAAACGAATTTTTTATTCTTTACTAGCTGATGTGGCAAGTGAGATGGATCTTGACTAACGGTCAATTCGGTTGACCGTTTAATTTGACGGTCAAACCCGCCTCCTGGCCAAATAAGAAAGTATGCTATATAGTTCAGACCAAAATAGCAATTTCCGATACCACGGGCCAAAGTAGAAAGTTTGTCTATAATTCAGGCCAAACTAAGGTATTAATTCTTTCTTTGATTCCAATTTTTTTCCAACTATTGTCCTGGAAAGCTTGGAAGGAGGATCCTTGCTTACAGAGCCGAACAATACTGTTAAAAGTCCTGATTCGGAAGGTGGAATCTCCACAGTCACCAAAGGAATATCAACCTATACAAGTTTGTGCAATGTATTATATAAATTGGTGGCACAGATATTAGCTAACCGTCGAAAGCCACTACTTCATATTGTAATCTCGCCTGAGCAAAGTAGTACATTTGTTCCAAGCTTGGAATACTTTGCAGAAAAAAGATAGATATGGTAAAGGCCTACGAAAGAGCAGAGTGGCATTGCATTTTCTGGATGCAGTAATGGTTCAAAGAGAGGTGGATTAAGTTGATCATAAATGATGTGCGCACGGTGTCATAAAAAATCCACAACTAACTGGCAATTACAAGTTAAAAGCTTCAGTCGATTTGAGTTGAACGGATTCGTTTGGCGCAACAAATTTTCGCCTGGCATATTAGATTTCCTCTGCCACCCAAAATGCATCTCCAGAACCTCCTGATGTCTACAAGATCAGCTGTATCTGGCGCGCGAAGAACAAACACTGAATCACAGTCACAGAACAAGTCCAGACAAGCTTAAGAGCTGGCTCTAATTTGAAGGTAAACTACAAAGAAGCAAGAAAAGAGCCAATCCTCCATTGCATCAGATCCCAAATCCTCACTCTTACACAAAATATACACACATGGAAAAGTAAAGAGAAAAAAAAAAAAAAAGAGGCATAAAGTTGGAGCAGGGGGAGAAGTGAAAACCCCTTGCTTTTGCTTCATCGATCGATCGATGAATCAGGCACAGGCACAAGAAGTCTCGTCCGCCACCAACACGCTCTCATCATCAACGCCCCTAAACAACAAATACCCGATCCCCAACCCAACCACCACGGCCACAAACACCCCGCCGTTGAACGACATCACCGCCAGCATCAGCATGTACCCGATCGCCGAATTCAGCCCGAACAGCGCCGCCCCGACCACCCTCGCCGCCGACCACTTCCCCGACCCGCCGAATTTCCGCTGGATCAAGGGTACATCGGCGCCTGATTCCCCTCCTCCTCCGCCGGCGCTCTTCCCCGCCGATCCCGCAGCGGCCGCGATCTTGACGCGCATGCGGTGGTTCTCGAGGTACTGGTAAAAGGCGGCGGCGAGGAGGCAGGCGACGAGGGAGAGTGAGTAGTCGACCCAGGACTTGGTGCGCCAGGAGTCGAAGAGGATTGTTACCTCCCGCCCCCAGTAGAAAGTCATGTGCATCATCCTTTCTAGTGTCGCAGTCGAGCGAGCGGAGGGAAGAGAGGATTGATTGATTGCCGCAGACCCAAGGGAGGCGTAAGCGTTTGTTTGGTGGAAGAGGAGGCCGGAGGAGGAAGGTATTTCAGGGAAGGGGGATTATTTTCGTCATTTCCTAGGGGGTTGGTTGCGGGGAGGAGTAGTACAAGAAATTGCGGGAGGGAGAGTACAGAGTACTCCGCCTGCGTTTTGACGTGTACGTTAAACACTTTTGCGAGAAGATGGAGGTTTTGATTGGATAGTCCAGTCCTCTTTTGGCCTTTGGAAACATCGCTTTCACACACCATACCCAGAGTGATACAACTATTAGAAAGAATGCTTAGGTATCAAAACAAAATTCAATATGAGTAATCCGTCCGGACGCATTGGATTAGAGGAGAATAGAAATTAGGAGTCGAGAGTGATAAGATTTAGGAGGGATACTTTGCTTAATACTTTTCTTGATTGATTATGACGTAAACCCGAGTTACATATTTATAGGGAAAATACGAGAAAACCCTAATAGATAACCTAATTCGACTAAACCTCTACTAACCTTAATAATAATTATCCTAGTTAAAAAAAAATAAAGAAACCCCACTAGGATGGGTTTCTACATACAGTTGATCTGCAACTCGATCGCAATCTGAACTGACTAAAAGTCAATGACCCACGACAGGGTCCGGTCAATAACACGATTGATCTGCAATCCGGCTAATTTGTTATTCGACTGGACGAACCGAACTCGATTGACACGCAGCTAGATTAAACTCGTAACCCTACTAACATGTGACCCCCCGATTGACATGAATTATTACTATATTATATAATATGTTCTTTCAAAATGAAGTTTTTTTTTTTCTAAACCTAAGTAAAATCATTTTTCATTTTGTAAAGGAAAGTTCAAAATAAGAAATTCACTTAAAATTATATATTTTAATAAAATTACAAAAATGCAAACGTGAAATTCACTTGAATATTAAGTTCTTTAACAAAATTAAAAGAAAAAGTTAATATAAAATACAAAATCAGCATAATGCGAATACTGAATAATTAATAATTGAGAAAATGTATAACATCAATATAGTGTATATATATATATATATAAATAAATAATTAATTTTTTGTTAATTTCACTAATTAACAAAGTTATCAATTAAGTATAAATAGAGTATAGTAGTTTATTTGGTAATTTGATTATTTTTTAAGAAATGGGATATTTTAGTGTTTTCAACTTTTTGAAAAGAAAAGAAAAAGGAAAATTTGGTGCTTCAATTTTTAGAAAAAAGGGAAACTTTGATGCCTTTTGGTTTATAGGAAGAGAAAAAGTGAGGAATTTTGGTGTGTTTGATTAATGAAAAAATAAATAAGATAAAATTTTGTAATTTCAACTTTTTGGAAGAGAAATAAGAGGGAAAGTTGAATGCTTTATGGGAAGAGAAAGAATGAGAGAAATTTTGGTGTTCTCAATTTTTTGTGAAATGAAAGAAGAAATTTTTTGTTGTTGTTTTAACCTTTCAAATATGAATCTTGAATTTTTATGAGGAAGACATTATTAGTTCACTATATTATAGCCTTATATAGAATGACTATTTGACTATATCATATTTGAGAACCTATCACGAGTTATTTCATCTTCAATATAAAATCACTCGAACTATCTCAAATGCAGGTTATTTTACATTGTATATCATATACTTAATGACTTATCAATTTGATTATCATAATATCTACATAGGATGGTTTATGAGGTTAACATTTAGTGACTAAATAGTGTATATAGTTAACCTTATTATAGTTTTAGGGATTTCCTACGGTAACTTGAGTTTTTTTACCTGCTATAGCATATTTCACAAGTCGCATTATGTAAAATACAATAGTCATTATATAATGGTTACGTAACATATGGTAATCTTAAGTAACATTTGTAAAAGATAATTACGGAAGCCTTACGTAATAGAATGATCGTTACGTAATGAGTATTAACCTCTCGTCACGTAAAATGTTAAGTCATTACGAAATCCTTACGTAACGCTACTGATTTAACTGTTACGTAAGAAATAATTGTCGTTCGGTAACATTTACTTAATAGAAGGTCTTTTTACATCATGAGTATTAACTTGGCGTTGCGTAAAGTGCTAAGTCATTATGAAAGTCTTACGTAACGCTTTTGATTTATATGTTACGTAAGAAATAACTATCATTCTGTAATGAATGTGTATTTTACGTAACAGTGGTAAACTGTCATTACGTAAGGCTTTCGTAATGACAGTTTACCCTAATTCGGGCCAAAAGGTATTAACCCTAATTAATAATCCAAGCAAGAGTTATTTCTAAAAAACAAAAATAAAAAAAATAAGTGAAAACATCAATGGCAACAAGTAAATCGCTCGCAAGTCCACCGACAGCAAGACCCGGAACCATCGCCCTCCGTGAGATCCGAAAGTACTAGAAGAGTTTAATGTGGGATGGAGTTTTGGCAATACAAAGATCGAAACCCCGAGTTCATCACGGTGAGAGGGGGATTTGTTTATTTTATTAAACAATTATTTTATTAATTTATATTATCTACATGGCATCGTGTTGACCGTCTAATTTGATGAAAATTCAAGCGTCCGGCTAAACTAGTCTATATAGTGTATAGTTGAGGCCAAAATATCAATTTCTAAAACCATGGGCGAAAATTGATTTTTGGGGTATAGTTTGGGCCAAAATAAGTTATTAACTCTATTAATTAATAATGTTTAGACATAGTGACTCTTCTCTAAGAAGAAAAAGTAAAAAACTGGTGGTCTATCCACCCAACATTCATCTTCTTCCCAATTGCAAGCAATGAGCCATACAATGTGCTAATCTGTTTTGGACCCTCGGAATGTAGATCCATTCAATTATGTTGAAGATCCGGCCCATCACTTGAATGTCATTTGTTATCTGGCCCACCTCAAGATTGGGCACAGCCTGGCCCCGAGATCAACCTCTCAACTCGTTGGCGATCCGTCTGAAGTGCTATGGAATGCAACGGAAGAAGGATTGTCATTCCAAGCCAAACATCACGGCCATGGCCTCCACCTCCGGTGCTTCCCATTGTCGTCGGGTTCTTCTCACTGCCACTGCTACAAAACCACCATCCTTTCTTCTAATACCACCCTCATCCCAGTCCCTTGTTCTGGTAAGCAGCTCACATCCACCAAGATCGTATATTTTGCCGATTGAGAAGGTTGCCAATTTGCCTCATTTCTACGATTCGACTCTACTGACCTCTCATGCATTTCCGGGTACTCATGCAAACAATCCCTCACTCGTGAAATAATTTCCATTCTTCCAATTTTTGCTTATTCCACAACTGGTTGTTTCTCTGTTCCCAGATGAACCAAAGGGAAACCCACATGTCAGTCCTCCCCCTTCTCGAACAGTAGACGCATGTCAGTAGGCCAAGTCACCCTCCGAACCCACACACAATCTTGGAATATATGTTTTTGATTCTCTAGTAGGTCACAGAAGGGGCACCCCACATGACCTCATTGTCTCCTCACAAAGATTTTAACACCCGTAGGCAAGATATCCCTAATTCATCTCCACGCAAAAAACCTTACTTTGAGAGGTATATTAAGCTTCCATAACCGCTCCCAATTGACTGGTGTGTATAACTCCCCTAGCATCTCCTCATCCTTGTTATTCCAGAGTCTATATGCAGACTTCACAGAATAGTCCCCTGAATTTTTAAGACTCCAAACCCTCTCATCCCTACAAGGTTGGCGAGGGATCTTTAGAATCTGTTTCCGGTCTTTAGGGTTAAAGAATGCCTGCAATAGATCTGATCTCCATGTTCTGGTTCTAGTTCCATTAGTTCTGCTACCGAAGTAGTATTCCCAATTCTTTTGCTTCCATCAAACCTTTCCACACAAAACTGGAGTTCCATCCTCTTTCTTCTTCCAACACATCCCATTGAGGGTAGTACTTTGCTTCCAGAACACGCGATTCCATGGAGTTCGGTTCCTTCATTAACCTCCATAATTATTTCCCAAGAAGAGCCATGTTAAAACACTTAGGGTATCCAAAACCCAAACCCCCTGCTTCTTTGGTCTACTTACTTTTTCGCACTGCAACCAATGGGTCCGTTTTCATCCTGCTGTTGCCCCCACTAGAGGTTGGTGCTTAGCTTTTGAATCTCTTGTAAAACACCAATAGGAATTGAGAAAATTTACATTGCATATGTCATTTGAGATTGGGCCACCGGCTTAATCAGGACCTCCTTACCAACTATGGATAGTAATTTGTTCTTCCAATGTTTCACCTTGCTTCGCACTCTGTCCACCAGATACCCAAAAACAGTTTTTTTCTCCCTTCCCACTTTCGTGGGGAGACCCAGATATTTCTCATGGAATCCACACTCTTCATCCCTAGAATCCCTGCTAATTCCTCTCTCTTCTCTGGTTTAATGTTTGTACTGAATGAGAGCTCCGATTTGACTAGATTAACATGTTGTCCCGACTCATTCTCATAGAGACTTAGGATTCTCTTCAGTTGTTCACTCTCTTGTCTAGTTGCTCTGGTAAATAGGATGTTATCATCCGCGAAAAGTAAGTTGGAGATACGGGGGCTCCACGTTTAATTTTCATCCCTGTAATTTTCCTTTTCCATTCTGTCGTAGTCATTAATCTGGAAAGTCCTCCCGCCACTAGGAGAAAGAGATAGGGGGATATTGGATCCCCTTATCTCAGTCCCCTGGTTGATTTGAACTAATCTGTTTGATGACCATTCACTAATAGGTTAAAGGAAACTGTTGAGACATATGGTATAATCAAATGAACCCGTTATAACACCCGTTATATGAACTAATTTAATAGTTTTTAAAAAAACAACGTACTTTATATAATTATATGAACTAACTTGACTAATTTTAGGGGACGAAGTTGTATAATTTGAATTTTAAGATGTATATAGCATTGTTTTATGGCTTTAATAACAAAATTAACAATTACTTTCAACACTTATTTGTGTTCTAAAAGTTTACTTAATTTGTTTTCTATACTTCTACATTTGTTGCAACTTCTGCACTACATGATCTCATTCTACAACACTGAAGTAAAGATGAGACATTTAAGTTGTGCACAAGATGCATTTTGGTTTCAAAATGAGAATTAAACTTGGTCTGATAAGTCACACGATTTTTATAACTCAATCATCTAAACGAATACAAAATTAATTTAGCACTCTGACAAGTTTTTAAACTTTTATAGGTTAATATATTTGTATGACCCGAACTTTTCACAAATTAAACATCCTGGCCAATCTTTTCGAGCTATAACTTCCTGGCCTCACCTATGCATCAAAGTTACGAAATTGTCCAAACCCGAGATTTGACCATTATCTTGGACGGTCAAACATGTTGACTAATGGTCAACGCACCATGTCACTGCCAAGTCAACACATCCCACTTAAGAAATTTAGTTTTTTCCACCTAATATCATTTATCTATTTTATTTTGAACAAAATAAGAAAAAAAGGAAAAGATATTTAAAAATAATCGATTCACTACTTCAAATTAAGTTTGCTATTTTAACCTATGCAGAGACTATCATTCTAGATTAAAGCAGAAATCACAAAAATTTGATCAGGACTCATGCAATTCTGCATAATGCCTCAATTGGATATAACTTATAAGATAATCAATCATCCATGAAAGTGGGTTTATATAACTCTTCATATCATATAAATCTAGGGTTTCTCAAAACCTAAGTGAAGGGAAGTTACTCCATAGAGAAGACAGAGAATGCAGAAATCTTATCTAGATCTTCAATCTCCATCTCCAAGCTTGATTCCCGAGCTTCAATGGTGAAGAAATCTGCCAAACTAGCTCTAAGAATGATCCCAAGGTGCTTTCTCTCTAGGGTTCGTCCCTTGGGTGTTTGGGATCCAAAACCCAACTCTCTCCTTCCAAAAATGCATAAAACGAGCCTTTATACTCGCTACTGATAGGGACGGACCTACATGTATGACAGGTTTTTCAATTGACACACGTTGTTCTAATTTTGGAACACAAATTCTTTGTAAAAATTTTATTTTAGTGATGATAGTATTTGAACTAAAGACTAATTGACAACCCTTAGTAATTTTGTTTTATTGTTGAATACCCTTGACGTAATTTCTACGCCCGCCACTGGCTACTGACACGTTCAATGGTCATCCATTCTATTCCACGTTCGTGGAATTGGCTCTCCAACTCGTGAATTTATCCTTATAAAAAACCACGGTCTGAACTCCTAATCCATGGTAGTGGAATTGGCTTCCATCCTGTGGAAATCATTGCTCCTATTCCCCTGTCTTGGATGTCTCATTTCTCCCTTGTTCCGACTCCGAATTTGTCGCCGTTTGATCCCAGACGCTCGTAGTGTCATCCTATTTCTTTACATGAACATCTTACAAGATTATTTGTCCATAAAATGAGGTATGAATCCATTCTTCCTCAGGTCATGCCTTGAAACTTGCGCCTATATCACACTTACATGCTAGGATCTGCAATGTGACAAAGGAACATAACCTAGCGTAAAATAGTCCAAAGTATGATAAACACCAAGCTAAACAATAAAAAAATGAGGGGTAAAACATGTGTAATTATGTATTCGTCAAATTCCCACACACTTAACTATTTGCTTGTCCCCAAGCAAACTTGACACAAACCAATGCAACTCTGCAGACCTTCATAGCAACATGCAACCTTGATCATTGGTAGAGGATGTCGTAAGTCATTTAGCAGTTTATGAGGCCAACTAATGCACGAGACTCCCCTAGCCCCTTTGACGAGAACTCTAGTCCCGAGTTGGGATCATGCCAAGCAGTGAACGTAGGACAAACGATATGATTAATGGACAAAGAGACTCTCGACTTACACTTAACCATGGACTCCTCTTTTTGGGTGCTCTTTACCTTTCATTTGATTTGTTGGAACCCCTTTTTATGTTCTCTTATGTTCTTTTCCATTCATTTTTTTCTGGCGGGGCTCCAATATGCATTTTCAAGATTGATCCTTATTGGTTGAGCAAGAGCAATTTTTGTACATCTGTCGCTCGCCAGAGTACTTCTTTTAACTCTTTTTCCTCAATTCACATGGAGGATCAGTGAAGTTAAGGGGGGTCGAAAGCTCTATCCACGCTTCAAATTATGAGCATGGAGAACCAACTAATTCTTATTAAGCACATATAGAGAACCCACAACAACACACGAGTCCGAATACAACGAGAGAGTCATCGATACCACACGATTAAGGTGGAATAAGATCACTGATTCACACAATCAACCAACACAATATGAATAAGAAAGGAAACTTCTCAATGCATCAACATCCTCCATATTGGTACACTAACCTCTCTAGGTTGCATATCACTTTAAAGAGTAAAGACTAGTGATTCAAAGCAACTAAGCAGGCAATTTGCAAGGAGACAAATACTTGAAGCTCTCAAATTTTAAATTTTGGATAGTGGACTAGGCTCCAAGTGCACACATACAACCAAACATTCACACGCATACATAATCGGACCCCCCCCCCCATACCACACACACTAAGCACTACATTGTCATCAATGGAAGAAAGATAAGGATGGTAGAATGAAGTTACCAGATCAAGTGTGAATGATGGTGGATGGGGTAGGCGGTGCATTCCAGGGAAGTAGAGAGAAGTCGAAGCACAAACACCACACAAAATCTCACAAAAGTTGAGTTATTGACTCTAAAATCAAAGAACAAAACTGACTCAACCGAAGAGAAATAGGGAAAGAAATGTAAACCGTTTGGTTGAGTTTCCTTCCAACAACCGCTTCTTTCACGTCATGAGCTGGATGGTGGCTCCTAATTTTTGGTCAGTCCTAGAACCTCCTTGAAGTTGAGGTTTTCGTTGATGAGGTGGAGTCTCAAGTTACGAGCATGTGGCGTAGCACATGATGTGGGCCTGTATACTTGATGCAGATGAACTCTCCACCCTCGAGACCTCTTCTTCTCTTCTTATCTCATCTCATTGCCCCAAACCAGATATGATAGCATCGATTGACCACCATCGCATCTGCTAAGAGGGATCGATGTCGATGTGGCCTTGGTCTGGCAAAGATACATTGCAAACGGGTCCTTATCAAGAAGCTCCTCTAAGTTTGGTGACGATATCAAATGTAACTCATGGTCGGGGCTAGCCTCTTCCACCAAACTTCGTCCTTAGCCTGGATGCCAATTGCTTCCTCAACCCCCCTTTCTTCTTCAAAATGTAGTATCTCCCCTTGTAAAAGATCAAGAGCTCCTTCTGCTTCACTTCTATCGTCCTCCACAACTTCTTCCGTCATCCTTTCTTGCTCTTCTTCTTCTAGAACATATTGGAGAGCAAACTGGCATGCAAGATTATCAATAAGATCAACTTGCATCTCTTACTCATGCCCGCCGCTTCGATGCTCAATGTAGGGTGTGGGAAGGTATGGTCAGCTACAATAGGACATTCTTGATCATGATCATCATGGGAGCTCTCCGTGACAACTTTTATCTGCTCCACAATGTCCTTATAGCCTCTTCATCCTCCTCCTCTTCTTTTATGGTAGCAAAAAGGTGATCTTTAGCAAGCTGTGCACGAACTTGCTTAACCCACTCTATTTGCTTCGCTGAGCGCTGACCAGCCTCCTCCATTTCATGGAGAAAGGAAGGGTCAGGAGGATCAATGGATTGTATTAGGAGATCCATCTTGGAAAAGGATCTCTCGGTGTCCCGAGCAATCTGCTCCACGAGAAGCTTCAATTGACTGTTCGGATCTAACCGTTGAGTGTAGCATGGCTCTGCAAAATGGCTAGTGAAGGCCACCATGGCTAACTCTAGCTCCGATACCCCCTCTAGTTGTGGGAGGAGTTTTTCTTGATAAGCAGATTGTTCTTGAAATGCTCAGGGGTCTGATTGTTCTTCGTAGTTGGGAGTTGGTATTGAAACCTGAATCCATAGGCTTCTACTCCTTGATTGCTCCAGGAAGTCTCGGGGTAATACCACTCAGATGGTGGTGGATACCCCCAATGGTTGAAGAAGCCATGAGGATGGATCCATATTTCAAATCCGCACCAACAAAAACAAAACACCCAAGTCACTGGCAATGGCGCCAAACACTTGACTCACTAAAACACAACTCCTAACAATGGCCAAGGGTAACCAATAAAAGGGACTACAGTATAGTGGCACAAGTAATAAATATCGAATCATCGGTTCTTTAGATGTACTATTACTCATCTTCGGTTCATTATCTAGCAAATCAGATTGAGGTTTGATTAACTAAACTACTCTACAAGCTAAACTAGGTTAGACTACTAATTATATGTTGGGAACTCACTTGGGTATGATTCCCCCTAGATTGCAGTTAGGCCATGTTGTAATTCACCTAATTCAACTCAACTGGCATTTACACTACGGATAGTTCTCAAACCGTCTGGAGTCTCGACTAAAGTGTTCCAGACCCTCTATAATAGATTACCTAGCAGGAGACTAACCTCCACTGGAACAACCTAACCAAGGCAATAAGATTCAAACTTCCTCTGCTGGGTTTAGACTAGTACATAGCAGTGAATCAACTTCTTGACTAAAGTAATCGATTCACTACTTCCAATTAAGGTTGCTCTTTTAACCTATGTAGAGACTGTCGTTCTAAGTTAAAGCAGAAATCACAAGAATTTGATCAAGACTCATGCAATTCTGAATAATGCCTCAATTGGATATAACCTAATCAATCTTTTATGAAATGGGTTCGTATAACTCTTCCTCGCATACAAATCTAGGGTTCCTCAAAACCTAAGTGAAGGGAAATTACTCCATAGAGAAGACAGAGAATGCAAAAATCTGATCTAGATATCCAATCTCCATCTCCAAGCTTGATTCCCGAGCTTCAATGGTGAAGAAATCCTCCAAACTAGATCCAAGAATAATCCCAAGGTTCTCTCTCTCTACGGTTCGTCCCTTGGGTGTTTGGGATCCAAAACCCAACACTCTCCTTCCAAAAATGCATAAAACGGGCATTTATACTCGTTGCTGACACGTTCCACGGTCACCCCTTCTATTCTACGGTCATGGAATTGGCTCTCCTACCCATGGATTTCTCCTACTAAAAAACACAGTCTGAACTCCTAATCCACGGTAGTGGAATTGGCTTCCAGTCCGTGGAAATCATTGTTCCTATTCCCTTGTCTTGGATGTCTCGTTTCTCCGTCGTCCGGACTCCGAATTAATTGTCGTTTTATCCCACACGCTCGTAGTCTCGTCGTTTTTCTTTTCATGACAAGTTTACATGATGATTTTTCCATAAAATTAGGTATAAATCCATTCTTCCTCGGGTCATGCCTGAGTTTCTTCCCCGAGTCGCCAATTGATCTTCAATTGACTTGAAACTTGCGCCTATGCTTCACTTTACATGCTAGGACCTGAAATGTGACCAATTAATATAACTTAACATAAAATAGGCCAAATTATGATAAACACCAATCTAAACAATAAAGAAATGAGGGGTAAAACATGTGTAAATATGTAGGTCAACATTGCCCCAAACCATGTAGGTCAACATCGATTAACCACAATAGCGTCCACCAAGTGGGATCCATGACAGTGTGTCCTAGTTTTGGCAAAGATAAACCTCAAAAGAGTCCTTTTATAGAACCTCCCCAAGTTTAAGTGGAAATCTCTTATATGACTCTGGACTTGTAGAAGCCTCAACTACCTTGACCTCAGCCTTTGCTTGGACCTTAATTGCTTCTTTAACTTGCCTTCCTTCTACAACATTAAGCTCCTCCCCTTGGGATAAATCAAGAGCTCCCTCTTAACTACACTCTACTTTGTCCTCCACAACTTCGTCTCTCAGCCTTCCATCCTCTTGCATCACGCTTGATGCGTTTTGCTACAACAGGACTCAATTGCTCATTATTGTCATGGGAGCTCTTTGTTCCAAGTTCCATCTACTTCATTTTGTCATCGTGGCTTGCCTCTTTGTCCTCCTCCTCTTTTGTAGTAGCTAAAATGCAATCATGAGCAAATCGTGCGCAAGCTGAAATCCGTGGTCGAGTATAACCACTGAAAGGGTGCAGGAAAGTGGATTCAATTCTATTTTTCAATCCGGGTCCTAGGTGTACTGCCTACTCCGTGAATTTTTATTGTCTAGGTATCGATTTATGGTGAAATTGTGGAAAACAAACTAGCAGAGAAAGCAAGTAAATTGTTCAGTTTTCAAATGTAAGAAGGGTCACTCAGATATGTGTCCCCCTAGATCCTCAATTAGGTCTGAGTTGTAGTTCCCTTTAGTTTTTTACTTCCCATTAAACCGCGGAAGATCCAAAAATAACTAGGAATATTTTAAGTCGACCAAACCCTCTTAGACACAGTACTTGGCATGTGACTAACCTCCACTAGATTAAAATGCTAAGGCAATAAATGAAGATCTCTTCTACTTGAATGAATCCCAGTACAGAGTAATGAATCAATCAAGCACGATTGATTCACTACTTCCAATCGAAGAAGCTTTGTTAACCCAATTAGATTCTATCTATCTTAGGTCAAAGCAAAAATCAAGAGACAGTGATCAAGATCCAAATACTCATACTTCAATTGAATATAATCAATCAGTTTAACATCTAAAGGTTCATACAAGTAAAGAGGAGGTTTACTGCATAGAGAGAGAGAGAGAGAGAGATAAAAACTCAACCAAAGAAGTTCATACTCATAACGATGTATTTAATCAGTTCCGGGATGTCAATCAGCACTCCGAGGGGTTAAATCTAAGCTTCAATCGTTGAATCTTAGCTCAAATTAGACCCATGGACTTGTTCTTCGTCACTTTATCTCTCTAGGGCCCACTTAGGTGTTTCTTCAAGTGAAAATTGGATGTGGAGTCAATTTCCCAAGTCTGCCTTTTGTTTCCCTGAAGTTTTGCAAGTCACGTGTCATGTCACGGCCGTGACTTAGCCGTTCCTCCCATGACTTTCACAATAAGGCGTTTCTTCAAACCTTGAACCAAGAGTCACGACTGGGGACTTCAAGTCATGAACGTGACGTAGGCAGCGACTCACAATCATGACCGTGAGTTGATATTGGGGCTTCTATCTCCCCGTTGTCGAGTCACGGGTTGGTTGAATATGTCACGGTTGTGATCGAGAAGTCACGACCGTGACCATGACTTCTCCTTCTTAGCCATCCTTCATCATTCACTCAGCAACTCTAGATCGTATCTGCAACATTTGGTCCACAAGTTGCCCCAAATACTTCTTCCATGAACTAGGCCCTGAAATATCACAAACAAGCACAACCTAGCGTAAAATCTGCCTTTAGTTGCAACAAACCTACCCCAAATGGTCTAAACGTGAAGGATAAAGCATGTGAAAATATCGTGTTATTATTACCTCTATTGGTTGAGGTTCTCACTCAATCCAAAGAAATTAATCGACTCACTCTCGTGCAATTGATCCCCTACTTTCAAACTATGGGTCTTTATTGACCTAATTAGGTATTCTCTTTCATAGAATCTAATCATAATTGAAGCATAAAACATGCATAAATTGAATATGAACTTTTAAGAAGAAATAGAACGCATAAATCATCCAATCAAACAAACATAGCTAGGGTTTCTCAAAATCTAAGGAAGTTACCCCGTAGAGAGGAGGAGAATGTAGAAATCAGCTCTTGATCTTCACTCTTCACTTCCAAACTTTTTCATCAAGCTTCAATGATTAAGAAATCCTGTGATTTGGCTCCAAGATCACCCTTGGATCTCACTCTCCCGCTAGAGTTCGTCCCTTTGGTGGTTTGGATCCAAAAACCCAGCTCTCTACCTCCACAATCACAAACAATCCTTTATACTCTAGTGAAGAAGTCAAGTCATGGCCAGGGTCACAGTCGTGACCTACCCAAGACCAGATAGTGGCCTTCATAACTCGTCCTTTCATTTAGCTTCTCGGGCCAACGTCATGGTCAAGAAGATTACGTCATGACCACAGCAGTCAAAAGCGTGATTCTACCTAGAAGCGGAAAAGGGGTAAAATCATAAAGCGTATAATCAAAGCGTAAAAGCGTAAGTTTTTGAAGCATACTGAAAAATAACTAATAAGCTAGGACATATACTATGTAAAATATGAATGCACGGAATTTAGATAAGTTAATAAATACATGCAATTCATGCCTCAAGTAGAGCAACTTGTAGCATCTTAATAATAAGTTTGTAAACATAAATTTTAACAATAAGCCACTTCTTCCTCTATGCTAATGCATTCGGGAAGAGCCTAGCTGGTGAATTAGATTACTCTATTAAAGTTGAGAATGCATCCAAGTACATGATATGTATGTTTTAATCTCAAATGTATCATATTGTTGGTGATTTACTTTTAAAACATGCTTTTTATAATTAATTTCATGAAAAGAATACTCATTTAGTGAACTAAAAGCGTAAAAACGTAAAGCGTTTTGGTGAACTAGAAGCGTAAAAGCGTAAGCTTTAAAGCGCTAGCACTTCTACTATGCTATATAGTATTGGTGCTTTAATGTACAACTTAAAGTTGTACCATGACATGAAATGTATAAGTTTAGGTTGTACCATAAAGCAATTTGTATCATTATGTTACGGTACAACTTTACAACTTGAAGTTGTACCATCACATAAAGGTACAAGTTCAAGTTGTACTATAAAAGAATTTGTACAAAAAGTATAGGTACAATCTGAAGTTATACCATAACGTAAATGTACAATTTTAGGTTGTACCATAAAAGCAAAACCCTATAGCAACGATACTATATAGCATTGTAAAATTTCTCTTAAAGCGCAATTTAGTCTGATTTTATACACTTAAGTTTTTATATGGAAACGAAAGCGTTTTGGTGACGACCTAAGCTGTGACATGGGTGGTCAGGTCGTGATATTGGAGTATGTTCTGTTTCTTGCCTCAAAGTCAAGATTTGGAGTCAAAAGTCACGGCCTAGACTGGGACATGGCTCCCTCAGACTCAGATAATGACATGGATGGTCAGATCGTGACATTAGAGTATGCTACTATTTCTCGCCTCAAAGTTACGGTTTGGATTCAAAAGTCATGGCATGCACCTGAAGATCTAGTTTGACCGCACCGATTATATTGCGGTTGAAGATGTCGCGCGGTCCAAGTAACATGTGGTGTGGTGCAGTTTGTGTCAATACGGTGTGGTGTGATTCGACCACTCCAATTGCCCACCCCTAGTTTCTAGTGCACATCACGGCCTTCGAGCGTGACCAGAGGGATGGTCACGGCCTCCAAGGATGACATTTGGCAAATCGACACAGTGAGGCATATCAAGCCGACCTCCCAGCCATGACGTGTAAATTGTCACTAAATCGTTAAGAACTCTGCGTCTTGCCTTTGTTCATGACCATAGATATCATAATTTTGATCTTGAGATCACGATGATGATTTGTATGTTGCGGTCGTGATCTTTTTCGCAGTCGAAATCCTCCTTAACCGCCACTTTACCCGCGAGGCATTCTGTCCAATTCGTGGGTTGTCTCTTGGAGTTTGCAGCATAACACTAGATTCATAGTCGTGAACTTGGTCATGACCTGGAGGTCACAGTTGTGACAGTGGCGGTGAACTGTGCGATTTCCTCCTTTCTTGCTCCTTATGCGATGCGAATATGCTAAGATGAACCCAAATCGATCACCATCGACCTGAAATATCATCACAAACACCAAGCAATTATAAAATATGACGAAGTAGGGTGGTTTCCCTACGAAAAACCTTCATCTCAACCTAACTCATGTCAAAACTCATGATCAACGTATGGAAACACATATTAGCATAAATTAGCTTGTATTGTAACCTAAATGTGATAATTTAGCACCATAGTAGTCAAAATCTTGATTTTACGTAAACCAAAAAATGGTGGTAAAATCGGAATTGTAAAATCGTAGGATTTTTAGGTCCAATTAAAAACGAAGATGGAATAATATTCATAAGGAAAATCATGAATAATATAAATACATGACACTTAAAATTAATAATTTCTCAAGGTTAATGTTCCAATATATCAAAACTAATATTGGGAAGTATTGAATCGATGATGATTAATACGTTAATGTGAATCGATGATGGTCGATGGTGGTTAGCATGAGAGAACTAGATGATGTTCGTGAAGGAGAAGGAAAAAGGTGTAATTTTGCAAATTCTGGGAAAAATAAGTAAAATTGACCCAAAGATTTGAATCGTAAGATTTTAAAGATTCTAATGATTTAAATCGTGGATAGTGTAGGATTTTAAGATCCATAAATTTTATAGTGAAATCAAGATCGGAACAAGTAAATAAAATCATAGAATTTTAGAATTTAAATCGGAATTTTGACTGCTTTGTTTAGCACACAAACGCCTCAAAAATAGACATTATATCAAACAAATTTAGGTGGTATCAGTAATGCTGATAATTAGATCTATTACCTAAATTAAAATCAAACCCAATAAAATAAACTAGAATATGCATTCCTCTAATAAGGCCTCTAGGTCATCTAATCAATGTATGATACATTCAACATACATCAACAAGAACTAACCAAGGATTAATTCATGCAACATTAAGGTATTTCATGCATTAAGGTATTTCATGCCTTACATCCCTACTGTGACCTTGTCTATGAAGTGTAAAACGCTGCCGAATCATTGAAAACTCAGTGTCTTAACTTCGTTCACGACCACCAAGGTCACAATCTTGATCTTGAGATTACGGTAGTGATATGTAAGTCACAGTCGTGATCTTTTTCAGGGCCGTGATCCTCGTAGGTCGTGAGACATTTTTTCCTATTTCGTTGGTTCCCTCTTGGAGTTCGCGTCATGGGCTCATGGCCTGAAGTTACATGGTATCAGACGCTCTAAATTGACTTTAGTGGTGTCCTTCTCTCAATTCTTAAAGTTTAATGGTATGGGCTGTATTTCTCTCCCACTGTGACCGTGACCTGTGCAATTTCCACCTTTCTTGCCCCTTATGCGATGCAAATATGCTCAGATGAAACCCAAATAGATCTTCGGTCGATTATAGACAGGTTTAAGTGTTATACGACAAATCAATGTGTCACATAAAAAATACAAGTGAAGCTCGTTAATATAAGGCATCTTGAGAAGGAATCAAAAAGTAAATTCGTGTGGGTTTTGGCCCAAAACGGATAATATCGTACTAAATGAGTCACCCTATCTCGGCAAGTGATATCATAGCCTGGTTCGGATTCGACACGGGACAGTGGACATCAGTTTGGTGAGACCCTCATTCATTGACCTCGAGATTTGAGATTTGCATATGTTTGACGGATCAAAGGAGATCTGTGTCTGTCTGGCATATCAAGGATATTCTATGTCTGGTAATTGTTGTGTCCAAAACTTGTCGATACAAGGTGTCTGGCAAATCAAGATAATCATTGATAGAGGACACGTAGTTCGTAGTCCTTGTCTTGAGGGGAGGATTGTTATGAGACCATTCAACCACCTCATAAAGTACATGTGAAGGAGGTGTCCACCTAGCTCATTAGTATGATGTCTTTTAGGAGGATACCCACAAGTAAATCTGTGTAGACTTGACTGAAAGCAGACAATATCATACTATTGAAATTATCTTGTCTCGAGAATAAGACCTCATTGCAACCAACTCCTCTCAAACCTCATTATCAATGTAAAGAAACGCAAATTAGTTAGTCTAAATTAGCTTGCAATGTGACCTGAACACGGATAATTTAGCTCTTCAACACCTCGAGAATAGAAATTATATAACCAATTTTAATCTCACGGATAATGAAATCTAGTATCTAAATTAACATTGCACACAATAAAATAACCTAGAATATGCATTCGTCATTTCCCTTCCCACCGCCCCATCCCATACGCAGTGGATGAGGATAAGGCCGACTTTGGAAGACTTTATTGCTTTTTTTTTTCCCCATATTATTACATTAATTAATTTACTTCGCAACAATATCCTTTCAATTTTATATTTCTTACCCTTTTCTCCCCTTTTTTTTCTGTCGCTGGGTGGCAACAACTGTAGTATTTATATGAGAAATCAATAAACGTAAGAAACCTCCGTCTGCTTTTTTTCTTTCCCCCAAATGCGAACGACGATCTCATCTCTCTGAAATCTGAATTTAACAGGAAACAGAAACTCAATTGAGGAAGTTGCTGTGTTCGCACCCCTTCCATATCCGGAGAGGATCAATCAATCAAAATATAGAAGACGCCCTAAAGCTTCAGCTGCCGTCATTATTCGACTTGATAATAAAGGCAGTGAGAGTAGTGGCGGTGGGATTTTTTAACTTACCATGCCGATAGCATTACAGAGACAAGGGAGTATGCCGGAGATCCAACGCCGTCGCGCGACCGAGCCGGGGATCGGCGGTGCCGCCTTCGTCCCTGCTTCCGCGATGCTACCGCGAAACAAGGATGCGGCTGCAGAGGAAGGGAGTGATCGAGAGTATACTCCGTCTCCGGAGTCGTCTTCAACGTCGTCGTCGTCGATCGGGAAGGATAGCGATGAGTGCGAGGGCAAGGAGGAGGAAGATGAGAACGAGGTAGAGAGCTCGTTTAGAGGACCGACGAGTCTTGATCTGGGTGCTTTGGAACAAAGCCTCACTGATTCTGATTGGTAGGGATTCTTTTTTTTACCATCCAAATCGGTCTTCGGTTTCTTTTCTTTTGACAAGAAGGAATTAATTGGATAAGTTTTGTGGCTGCAGGCGGAAAGGACTGTCGAGGTGCTACGTAGGGAAAGCCAAGTCGTTTTCAGATCTGGGCAAGGCGGAATCGATTACTGATATCAGCGAGCTCGAGAAAACGGAGCATGCTGTCAACAAGAGGCGGAGGAGCGAGATTGCTCTTGCACAGGTTTGGGACCGGAGCGGGGGCGCGACGATTTCCAAGCGGAGCATCACATCCAGCGCAAGTGCGATATCTCTGACTATGGCCGCCGCCATGGGAGAAGGCTGCGGCGGCGCCGCCGTGGGTGAGGACCGGTCTCATAATTTTCGCAATCATCGTCTGCACCACCACCCTAAACATCTTCCTCCGCTCTACCCTGGCGGATCATCTTCGCATATGGTTCTTGAAGCCCTGCAGACTCCGAAGCAGCAGCAGCAGCAGCAGCGCTCTTCTCCGATGCGATCCTTCTCGATGGCTGATCTACATTACTTCGCCCCTGCTCCTACAAACTCCCACTAACAAGCTAATCCCCCCCCTTTCGTATCTTGCTTTTACTGTCATGTTGCGCCCTGTTCTCGACCTAATCACAGACCAATCTCTGGTTCATGAGTTCAATTTGCTTTGTCAAATTTAGCGTTGCTCCAGCCTGTTCTGTTACCAACTTCAATCGCAGTCATTCCTGGTGCAAGTAATAGCAAGAAACGAAATAGGCTGAAAATTTGTCTTAACCTTCCCTTAATGGTCAAGATGTACAATTGAAAATTGATTCGTCCCGTTCTTATCTACTTCTTGATTCTGTCTGACCTTTAGGGATTGTAAGTGGAACGGGTCGGGGACAAGCCACTGGATCAATCAACACACTACTATTTTACAAATTATGTTTTGGTATTTAAAATTATTTTTTTTAACAATTTAGTACCTAAATTTAGTTTTTTACATATAGGTCCATAAATTTTGATGGTAAATTTTGATGGTAAAATTATGTTTTGAAACCCACGCATTTTAATTTTTATAAGTTAGTATCCAAATTTTTAAAACTTTACAAAAAAGTTCAATTTGGTATGAGATATTTGTTGTTGCTAATGGTCACAAGACCCAAAAATAATCCGTCTCTAAGTTGTCCCTACACGTCCTGACCCTTACAAGATTTAACAATTGACTTGTTACTAATTTGACCCTAACTGATTCGAGTCAGTGAGTTTTTCGGGTCAAGCTTACATCCCTAGAACGAAGTATGACAATAGGATTCAACTATACTTATTTGATTCTTCAGATAATAAGAGAGAGAAATAGATAAGTAGACTTACCACATCACATTTTCAATCTGAATACAATGAAAAATGAATATACATAGGATATGGAAAGTTAGCAAATATGCTCTGGAAGCAAGATCGCGTATCTCATTACTAGCTTACTTGTACACTAGGGACTAGAGTTCGGATATGGACATACTGACATCACAGGCTGGAAACGCTGTAACACAAAGTTACAAGCAAGCTTTTTTTTCATTTTCTTTTCAAATGCAATTAAAGGAAAGAATGAGCTGTGGAATTGCAGCCAACTTTAGTCTCTACTAACATTTACCCACCACTAATTGCTACATCTTCCTTTCAACCTACACCCAAATTTCCGGGGAAATAGCATCCCCCAATACAACTGCTGCTACCTGCACAAAAGTAGGCTTCTCAAATTCCCATCATCCATCTCATACCTTCTACATATCCAGACCCTGACTTCATGAAATCTCACACGCTTCAACGTAAAGAATGACATTTCTACCGCCGTAGGAACTGTGCACACGGAGATTCCAGCAAGTACTTCGGAAGATCAATATCTGAAGGATCAATAGCAGGAATTGCCTTGTCTATATCCTCGGTTGAGAAGGGAATGCTACATGCAACAACATGGTGACCAATGATCAGGATAACAGTCTTCAAACTGTACATGACAAGACCCAAAATGGTGCCGGGGAAAAAAAAAAGAGAGAAGGAATTCTCCACTGATTCGAACATGATTACTGGAACAGATCAAATCCTACGTTTAACCCCATAAAATCTACAGGTCTAAAAGCTAAACAACCATAAAGGGTTTTGTCGACAAGTCATTTTGGGAGCTACGGTTTTCATGCAAGTTTATACATTTCAGGTAAAAAACTCAGTACCTCAGATCATCATCCAACAAGAATGAGTTGGACGTCAGATTCTGGCCGTCTTTGTTCAACATTTCCCTCATTTGGGCAACCACCTGTGGCCAAAATCTTATTTTGTTTACAAGCACGAAGGGCATAATTTTGTATTAACTAGCACCCAAAAGAAAGTTGAAAAGTACCTCATTTGATACGCTCTGAGTGCCATATTTATCATCCCAATACATGGTACTAATACGGTATATTTGCCTGACAGTCAATACCTGCATTCAAGTGCACCAATCAGGGTTCTTTTGACGAGTATAAAGCATAGAATGTCAATAGTAATAAACTAATAATGAGAAATAAAATAGATCGTACTGGACACATTTCCTGCATTATCTCCTCCAGAGACTTTTTCCGTTTCTGGTGTATCACCTACAGAAATCACATTACACTTGAGAAAAAAGGAAGAAAAATGGAAGACTTGAAAAAACAAGTTGCGACAAATAACAGAGGTAAAGTTGATTACCAGAAACCCAACAGCTTGTCGGATATAACTTAGCTCATGCCACGAGGTTCCTGCATACTGCATTTTACAAAAATTCTGAACAAGCTCTATTTTCACTCTTGCGTCATATTTCAGCAAATAAAATCCCACAACAAAAGGAAAATCAAAGGAAAAACTAGTAGCAAGTAGATAGTTACCTGCTGTGTCACTTTAGTGATCCACTTTTCAAGCTCCGCCAGACCAGATTTCACATACTCACCATTTGAAAATGTGCAACATTCTCGCCGTAACAAAAGACTGGGACAGAATCACTACATTAGGAAGCTCATTATAACATCAATAAAACATGCTATGAGAAACATATGTTCATCGACAGTCTACCTGTTAAAAAGCTGAATATTGATGAAAGAAAACACTTGAGTGATGAGCTTCTGGATGAAAAACGATGGCACCTGAATGCAACTCCAGAGTCAGTAAAGAAGAAATGCACAACCCAAACTGCGCGCATTTGAATTACTGCCCATATAGGATTTGGTCAGTTCTAACATAAAAAATAAAATAAAAACTGTACCCAACTTCCAAAAAATAAAATCAAGGAGAACATTTATCCATTTTCTAACGAAACAGAAGAGCAAGAATTCTCAAGTAGCACCTCTGCAACACTAAGGGGAGAAATGCACATCTTCATTAATGGTTATCTAGCAAGGTTCCATTATATAGATGCAGAAATATGTGTAAATTGGAGAGTGGAACAGATACCTCGCGATTATACCCACTAGGAAACTAGAAACACTTGCGACATTAGTGAAGAGATCATAAGGGAAATGAAAAAATAAATAGAGTCCATGGAATGCAGGTGTATGCTATAACCATGCCACAAACTCGATGAAAGACAATATACAGAATCTAGAGGAATTCCTAAAAGATTGTCCCACAGGTTCAAAACTTGACCACGGAGCACATAGAGAAAACTCTTAGCAATTCCTAAACTGTGTTGGCATACCAGTTCAACGAGATATATAGATTAAAATTTGAACGAGCCAACTGCAGCACTTGAACCTCAGTGTACATACATGATTACCACGCAACCGGTCCATGAGCGAATCCAAAAATTTGATGATGCTCTCCCACTGACTACCCGGTGACTGCTGGGGAATGCCTGCTGGTGATCTAGAAGACTTCCCAGCATTTCGTACATTTTTGGGGGCCTTGCAAATGAGCATAGAACCACATATATTACTGGATGCAAAGGCAGATTGTAAAGAAAATACCTAACGTTATAGTTGTGGGGATTTAACTCAAATGAAAACATTAGCAACAGAAACTTAGTATCAAATCCTGAGTTTCAAAAGACTCTGAATCCAATTGTCGAATAAGACAAATTGTATTAATGATGACAGGATATTACACTAAACACATCCTACGGATTAAATGTCAATCAGTATTCTGTGGCAAACTTCTGTCTTCGGCACTTGGTTATTTGTATACTAGACGATGCTGTACTTTTTTCCTCCAACAACTAAAGCTGACCAAGACAAGAGATGAATAAGGTCATGGCTTTCCTATTATCCGACAACAATAAGTTCAATTATATAAAACATGGTCAGTCTGCCCATCAAATTACCAATATGCAATTAAAGATTCTGAGGAAAAAGAAACAAATGGCCAAAGAGGGATTCAAAATGCAGCTCAAACAAAAGATAACAAAAGAAAGTCACCTGGATACAGAACGCCAAAAGTGGTGACAATTCCTTCTTCAAGTTATCTCTAATCAGACCAAAAATCTTCTCTACACAAGCAGTTAGCTGTTGCTTGAACAGAATCGCTGGATATCTGGCTTCCACGTGTGAAACACCATCGTCAAAACCAATATACTTGAAAGCAGATTTCAGAGCCTGTTGAGAATAGCCTAATTGTCATCAAACCAGTCGAACCAGAATCATCACTTTTGCAAAATTAACACAAAAGCATATGAAAGAGACCACAGTCAAAAATCAATTCCTTGCACGTCGTTGGTAAGATTCAATTATGGACCAAGGCAGAATTAATCGATTCAGGTCTACAATATCCCAGCAGAGTTAATTGAAGAGGTTCCACAGAGACAAGATTGGTACTTCTGTACTCAGTTAACAGAAGAGGTTATAATAAGTGCTACCGACGGGATTCGAATCTGGGACCTACAGGTCGAAGACTAACGGTTTAACCACTAGACCAAGCCCTTGTTCGCTTGTTGTTCCACATATATATTTAGCAATTTACTAAATCAATCAATTCTGCAATACGGAGCCCATAAACTAACTGTAGAACATCACTCCCCTTCCGGAAAGAACACACCAATTTAGATTTCATTGCAGCTTGCAAACCTTTAGAGATTAAAGGGTGTGCACAAACATGAAAAAGAAGTATAATTGCCACCAACTGGGCTGCGACATTGTAATTGTCTCTTCAACACATTGGCATGCATGTAAACCTACGCATTCAGGAAAGTAGCATCACAGAGACTTGCAGTTTAAAGTGAAACTCCACATGCCCCACTGTGACCACATAATAAAGAGAAGGTTTGGGTGTAGAAAAAGTTAAAAGTATAGAATTCACATACAACCTTTCCAGGTAATCCTGCAGATGTAGAACGTGGTGTCCCTTTGGTCAAAAACCCATTTGCCTGCAGGTTTCTCTGTAGGAGACACAGAAGCGCTGACGCATTGGCCAACCAGTATGGTAAAGTAATGTTTTCATCTCCAGCCTGGAACAATTGTGAAATCATAAAATAAACCTTACTCCTCCCATCAAAGCCTTGTTTAATCAACTGGACACATAAATCTAAACTTTTCAGACCTGGCCTTACATTCATTGAAGTAGTTCGATAAACAAACTACGGTCAGAGGAAGAAGTAAAAAATCAAGTTGATTGAAAATTAATCACAAACAGGAACAATTACGTAGACAAAGTATTCAACTAGGTCAGAGACAGAAGTCAAACAGATTTTCCTAACTGATTGTTGGCTAACCTTCAAAACTTCATTAATTCCCTCAATTATATAGTCAAATATAGCCGTCCGCTCAGTCTCAAAAGCACGCCACTGATGAAGACATCTGTAGATTATACAAGCAGCCAGTGGTTTGCCTTCTATAAATCCTAAATCTTCTCTGATGCACCTCGATAAGAATTCATAGTTTTCCTGCACAGCAAAATAAGGTCAAACACAAGAATTAGGTATTTGATTCCACCACAATTGGGAACCCAATACATACTTAAAGCTGTTTAGCTACACAGCATCTACAGAGGAAAAATAAATCAAACCTGGGACCTTTCCGCTGTCAACTTAGTTCG